CCCCACCCCCATGCCCGGCCGGCACCTGCCGGAGCGCTGCGGGTCCCCCCCGGTCCCCCCCCCGCCGAAGAACAAGGAGCGCGGGGGGAGCCCCCAGGGCTCTGCCCTCGGGGAGCGGGTTTGGGGGTTCTGGGGTCCCGCTGCGGTTTGGTGCCGAAGTTTTGACGGTTTGGGGTTGTAGGAATGGCCTCGATTTCCTGATGGGAAAGGGAGGGGATGGTGCGAGTTGGGGTGCAGGGAAAGGGGAACCCCACGTGCTTCAGGCACTTTGGGCAGCCGGGGGGGGGGCAGCTGCCTGCTTCCCCCCTCCCTTGTCCCACCGCAGTGGGATGTGGCACTGGGAGCGACCCGGGTTTGGGCTCACAGAGGGATTCGGTGACGGAAGCATCCCGGGTTTGAGGTCACAGAGGGGTTTGGTGCTGGGAGTGCCCCAGGTTTGAGGTGACAGAGGGATTCGGTGTCGGGAACATCCCAGGATTGGGCTCGCAGCGGGATGCGGTGCTGGGGGAATCCCGGGTTTGGGCTCACAGAGGGGTTTGGTGCTGGGAGCATCCCGGGATTGGGCCCACAGCAGGACGTGGTGCTGGGGATCGTCCTGGGTTTAGTCTCACAGCTGGGATTCTGTGCCCGGAGCATCCCGGGTTCGGGCTCACAGTTGGATTCAGTGCTGGGAGCATCCTGAGTCTGGGCCCACAGCGGGACGTGGTGCCCGGAGCATCCCGGGTTCGGGCTCACAGCGGAGCAGGCAGCTGCCGTCCCGTTTGCCGGGCGAGGTGCCGGGGACAGGACGGGAGCTGCCGGGACGGGGCTGAGCACACACCGAAGCCCCGTACGCTGCTCCCTCTGTGCTCCATCCTTGTGGGCAGCACACGTTGCAGTTTTAGGGGAGAACATCTCCTTTATGTAGGGAACTTAAAAAGTAGGCGATTTGTGAGTCAAACTGGAAGCAGGTGAGCCCGACTCACGGATGAAGGAGGGCGGCAGCGACAGGGTCAGACATCTGGCGCAGAGAGCGCGGGGCTCAGCAGCACTCGGCAAAGGGGGATGGAGCTGAAGTGAGGGACACTTTAGGGTTTCCCCTAAATTTTTCTAAGTACAACAGAGGAAAAAAACTGACAGCACTGCGTTTCCCAGCTCGTTGTGCCACAGCCACCGCTACCACGCGGTGCTGGCTTTGATGTGCCGGGCACGGACGGACACTGCCGGGGGGGTTTGGAGCCTCGAACCCTTCCTCGGGGCTCATGAGCGAGTGACTTTTGCCCACAGGTAGTAGCAGAGGGCTCCGAGTGAGGCAGTGGCCAGGCCCTTCCTCGCCCACCCTCCCACGCTGGCCCAGGACCCCACCAAAATTTGCTGGGTTAAAGTGGAATCTGGTGATTCTGGTTTGTACCCTTGGAAAAGCTGCCCGGGTTAAAATGTTCCTTCAGCGCCTCACCCGTCAGCAAGGGCTGCTGTGTTTGATTTGGCTGGAGTCCCTTCTCTTGGGTTTGTTTTTTTTTTTTTTTACAATGGGCAGCGCAGGTGAGGGTAGTGGGCAGCGGAGGCAAAATTCTGCAAACTTCTGACAAATCTAGCCAACTAGCTGTTGCTTTCGCTCAGTCACTTCAAAGAAGCTTGCTGCTGGTTTCTCATGGCGATGCTGGTCCAACGGCGGCCGCCTCCAGCAAGCTGCTGGTGCTCTTGTCCTAGCAGGGAGGTTTTATCAGCTTCACCCCTTGCAGTCCCATCCTAAACGAGCTCCAGTGCAGGCGCTGGGGCCATGGGGAGCCATGTGTGACACGAGGATGTGTCCTTGGGGAGCCTCCCGTCGTCCTGTCCTGCAGGAAGCCCTCTCCTCCGCCGGGTTGTGCCGTTCAGGGGTAGCGGGTAAAGGCCAACCACCTCTTCTGGCCTCGAAGAGCTGATATCCCGTTACACAAGCTTTTCCTTGAGAATGGGTCACCCTCCCCGAGCTGTAATTCTTCCTGGCAGCGACAGTGCAAGTGGTTATGGGACAACAAAAGAGGTTTGTGCCTCCAGGGGAGAAATAAGAATGCAAATATCTTTGGCATGAAAAAACAAAGGCGATTTACTCCTTGGTATTTCTTGTCAGTGCTTTGCATCTGTCTCTGCTTCACCTTCTCATTCCTTTCCTTTGGGCTTTCCAAGTGTAATAAGGCTTTGGGGAGCGATGGGGGCTGGAGGGGCCCTGTGGGAGGGACGAGGCTGGTGGCTGCAGCCTCACCAGCTTCCCAGCTCTGCTGTAAAATCCTTTTTTCCCCCCATATTGTTTGCCCACTTCGGGTGGATTTTTCCCTGCTGCAGCCCGGCCTCGGAGAGGACTTGGCCGTGTCTTGCCGGGATGCTTTGCCCCGGCACATCCTTTGTGGGTCTGGCCCGTGCCAGGCAGCCGCTTGCACCAGGACCTGCTTCTCCATCTTCCCGGGTGCTTCTGCACCGCTCCCAGCCCGGGGGTGTGTGTGGGGGGGTGGGTTTGGGGGTTCTGTCAACCACAGCAGAAGAGAGCAAGTGTCCCGTCAGCGGGCATAAATCAGCCAGGAGCTGGAAAACAGGGCGGGCTGCAGAGAGGGAGCGCAGGGCCCCTGCTTTCTGCCGCCGGATGGTCAGGGACTTCCAGTTCATTTATTCTGCTGGGGTTCGCCCAGCCCTGCTCGGCATGTGTAATGTTTTCTCTGAAAGACTTAGCAGTTAGATGGGTGAAAAACATTCTCCTGTCTCAGGAGCTGGCAGAAATCCTAGTAAATCTGCAGAACTATGTTTTTGTCGGTGCTGCTTATTCTGTTAGGGAAACTAGTATAAACTATTCCAGTAGAAAACCTTTTCCTGGAATAAAGTCTTGACTCTGTTCAGAGCATTGTCAGGACTTTATACCGGGAACAGAGCTTTGCTGGTAAACATGCCGGGACTGAGGAGCCCTAACAGGGCAGACACAGAGCTCGGGCAGCCTCTGCCCCACGGATAAGCCCCTCAGAAGGCACCTGCTGCCCTTTGCTGTGCTCGTACCAAAATAAGATACCTGTGCGTGGTTAATTTGCAAACAAACCATGGTTTTCTTTTTTCTCTCCTCTGAAAGACCGGCTGTCCCTGCCAGGATGTGCCGCTGTTCATCCCCTCCAGGCTGTGGCCAGGCATCCCCCGGTGGGGTCGGGGTCAGCGCCATGAGCCAGGCTGTGGGGACACGTCCCCATCCCACGTCACTCGGCAGCCGTGGGGTCCCCATGCAGCTTGAGCGCTTGCTTCTGCGTGGCTGCCTCAGTTTCCCTAACTCAGCCTGGCTGATGCGAGGGGTGATGCTGGGAGCCCCCAGGGCGGCCCTGGGATAACAGCAGGTGCCCGCCCGCTCCAGTTTGAATTTCTCACCCCCTGCTGGGTCCTTATCTCCTCACTCCTCGCAGCCGGGATGGGAATGTCTGCAGGGCTTTTGGCAGGGGAGCAGGCCCGCCGGCGCGGGTTTGGGCTGGAGATCAGAGCTGTGATGCCCCGGGTGGGGTGTGAGCCCCGGGTGCTGGCAGGGGACCGCTTGGCACAGCCAGGCGTGTTTCAAAGGGCGGCAGGTTTTTCCGGGCTCCGGCTGCTGTTTTGCTCTCCAGGCAGGCGTGAAAATGTGAAAGAATGTGAAAAATGTGAAAATGATCGTGCTGGCCCCAAGATTTGTAAACTTCTGGTTAATGTGTAATAAATACATGACAGATACTCCCAGCTCTGGGCGGGTGACCACGGCTGCTCAGTGGTGGCACAGCCGGCGGTGGCATCCCCCAGCCGAGGAGGCATCTCCCCTGCCCTGCCCTGGGGCCAGCCCCAGGCTGTCCTGAGCAGCAGTTTGGGGGCTTTTCTAAACTGGTTTATCTGGTCTCCACTTATCCCTTTCTCTCTTTCTGTGAACCGCCTTGTCTGGCTTGCAGACATGCACTTTTTTATCCGTTTAATTCTTCTCTGGTACAAGGTGGGTGCGGTGAAGCCCATGTGCACAGCGTCCGGCCTGAGCGATGCCGGTGAGGAGCACGGTGCCGGTGCTGGTTATCCGGAGACCTCAATCCCTGGCTGTGATTCTGCCCAGGGAGCTCATCGAGCTGTAACCACGGACGTGACTGTCCTGCTTGGCACCAAGTGAGGTGCCGCGACAACCGCGCTCCCACCGTAGTCAGCCTGGGGGAATCTCTTCTGCGTCGTTTAATTTTTTTTGGAAAAAATAGCTAAAAGATGGTCCTTCGGCTCTGCATGGTTGTAGCAAAGCTATAGGGGAACAGAGTTGCTGCTGAAGTGTGGGTCCCGGCGTGGGGGGACCGGGGTTCATCCCAGGGAGGCTCCCCACGACCCCCCCCCGGCACTGCCGCGGGACGTGCGCAGCACAGAGCCGCCTCACCTGGGAATCCGGGATCAAAAGGGTCGCAGAGATGCTTCTGCCAAGGGGCTGGGAGCAGAGGGTGCTGGAGTCGACGCCAAAGGGCGGCCTCGTGCTGTGCTGGGGCTTGGACCTGCTGTGGACGGGGACGGTTCTGCAGGAGCCTGGCGAGAGCTGGGCCGGCACCGTCCCCCCTTCCACAGGCTGTGTTCCCCCTCTCCTTCACACGGCCTCCGAGCACCAGAGATCAACAAGTTTTGTCTGACTCTAATGCATAAATTTCAGCCCTGGATGACTTTCCCCTGTAATTTAGAAAGAAGAGAGTGTCCTTTGAAAATGGTTTTGATTGTTTTTGTTAGCCGTGTCGTCCTGGCGTCGCTCCCCAAAGTAAATGGAAAGGACGGAGGTTTGTGGGTGAACATGGATTTGGCTCCCTTGGGTTTTTCTCAGTTTTTCTGGGTGGCTGTAGGTGCTGACCGGGGGTCCCTGGCGCATGTTGTGCGGTGCAGGGCCACCCCCTGGGGATGGGATGGGTGGAAGATGCTCAGAGGGGCCGGGGCTTGGTGCAGGGACTGCGCTCAGCCTGTCAAAGGGGCCAAGGAGCTGGTGGACACTGGTGAAGGGGCCGGAGGGTGGGATTACGTGGTGTGGCTTCCTGGAAAGCCTGAACATCACCCACCTTGGGCACGGCTCGGCTGGGAGGGTTATGTGGGGCTCAACTGAACGTTGTCGCTTTATTTTTTCCCCAAAATCGATTCCAGTGCTGGGTGATCTGCTCCATCCCCCTGTGGAGAGCCCTGCCAGAGGGCTGAGATGGGGCTGAGATCACCCCGGGCCGTGCCCGAGTTAATCCATGTTATTCCTGTGAAACTGGTGGCTCAAGTCCAGCTGGGCTCAGCCCCTGCGTGGGGGTGTTGGACTGAAGCAGAGCCGCTCCTTTCAAACATCCATCCCCACAGAAACCCCAAGGGCTTTCCAAAGAAACTGCAAAGGGAATTTTTAATGGGAAAATAAAGGCGATTTAGCCGCCATCAAACATGTCCTAACCTTGATTCTCCTTGCTCTGTGGCGGTTCAGGGTGTGAGGATGAGCTGTGGGTTTGCAGTTAGGGTGCAGAACGGGAGCTGGGCTCGTGCGCTTCGCTCGGGCAGGGCCGTGCAGCCTCTCCCACAGCTCAGCCCCCACCTGCGGCAAAACTCAGCAACCCACCGCATCCCACCCCCCTGAATTCATGTCCCGAGAGCTTCGAGGCCCATCGCGTGGAAGTTTCTAAATTGATGCTCTGAGCTATGAATTATGAATGGAATCACACCCCTGATCACTGGCAGTCCTGAAGCTGCTGATCTGAGAAACAGCCCAAAGCTTTTAAAGATGCGAACAGCGAAACCTGGGAATAATTTGCTTTGCCAGCTACAGACCTCTTGGCCTACAGCTGGGGCTCATCGTATTCCCTCTCCTGCCTCCTCCTGTCCCCTTCTCTTTTGTTTTCCAGCATCAGCTTCTCTCCTCGCCCTCCCAATTTGTCTTCATGGTTGTTGTCCTGCTTGGCTCTGTGATCATCCTGTGGCAGCTGCATCCTTCATGACATGTTCCTCCCCCAAGGTTGCTGGTACCAACTGGGGACATCTGCTGCAGTGCTGGTCCCAGCTGGGTCCCGCTGGCCCCTGGCTGTCCCCATGTGGTCCCCACACCGTCCCCATGGCTGGTGCAGAGCTCCTCACACAGGGATCTGCAGTTTTTTTTGGCAAATCTCTGCTGCTTCATCTCCCTTTGGCCATAACTTTGTGCTCAAGACGTGGGGTTTCACAGCTCCATCTCTGCCATCGGTCTGTGGGGTGTTTGTCCTTGAATTTCTCCACCCCTGGAGGCCAAATCCTGCCCTAAACAACCGTATATGCTTAATCCTGTAAACCCAGGTATTTCTGGGGTTTATTGCTTTCTGGGTTTGTCTGGATTTCTGCATTTTTGCCTCCGGGACCAGGTTCCTCCCAGTGCCCCAAGGCAGCTGCGCTGCCTGCCCTGACCCGCTGACAGCAGTGGGGCATCGTGAGCAGAACTAAATTAAAAAAATGAGCTTTAGAAACTTCTCAGTTGTTACAAATGAAGGCAAGGCCCTGCACATTGCCCCCCCCGGTGCTGGGAGGGAGCAGCGCTGCTCCCTGGGGATGACAGCACCATGGGAAACCATCCCAGCCTGGGCAATGGATGCGGGAAAGGGGCACTCGTTTTTTCCAGTCCTTTCCAGTTGAGTCATCGTGAGCCAGGCAGCAAAAAAGACAACTTCAAAGGCAAAGTCTTGGTGCCTGGATACAGCATTCTGCCCTGGGCTGGGATGCAGGAGGGCTTCGGCAGGTCTTGACTGTGTCTTGTTTCTCTTGCACAGGGGATGCTGTAGCTGTGCAAGGTGAAGGACGGACCAACAGTCACAGGCAGAGCCACGGCAGTTGTTTCTCCTCCTGGAGCAAGGGAGGGCAGCGCTTTGGTGAGCCGAGGAGTGTGGTCTGCAGGGAAAGAGCCATTTGGTGGATGCGAATATCCCTGCGGCTGCGGTGAGGGGAGAGGAGCCTCTGCCACAGATCGAGCACACTTCTGGAGGGAAAAACACCACTTTGGTTTGGTGTCTAATTAGATATTTACCAGGAAGGAAGGAAAGTTAAAAATAGAGTGACAGTGACTTCAAAGGGTGTTTTTGTCTTCTAAGAATAACACCTTTGCTGGCACCAACTTCAGGAATATCAGCTGTGCCTGGGTGTGAAACATGGAGGAGATGTTGCAGCTCGGTTGGTAGCCAAGGGGGCAAGCCAGGACCACCTGGACCCAGCCCTGCGGGAGCAGCTGAAGAGGGGACGTCTGCATCGCTGCGAGGGCCCGTGGAGAGCTCAGCTGCATCCCCAGGGACGTGGCGGAGGGAGTTTGTGGAAGACGAAGCCGCCAGTACCCCAGCGTGGGTGGCACCATGGGGACCCCCTCCCCGCGGGCGGTGCTGGTGCTTGCCGTGGCACTACTGGGGTTCTCAGCTCCCTGGGCAGCGTACGGGCGGCCCAACTTCATCGTCATCCTGGCAGATGATGTGGGCTGGGGGGATCTTGGGGCCAACTGGGCAGAGACGAAGGAGACCCCACATTTGGATGAGCTGGCGGCCGAAGGGATGAGGTAACGTCTGTCCCCCCTCCCCAGCCCCCTCTGAGCATCCCTGGTTACTCTGTCCTGCAGCAAAAGGGGTTTTCCTGGCAGGTGAAGGGGGTTCACTGAGGTGGTTTTGGGTGCATGGGGAGGGTGGCTAGCGCCCAGCACCTTGGGGTGCAAGTCCATCTATCCCCGCTGCGACCTGCGAGCTTCATCCCCCACTCCAGACCCTCATCGTGGGGCAGGTGGGGACACATGCAGGGGAGCAGGGAGGGAGGGGGCAGCGTTGGACCGTGCAGTGAAGGGTCCTTTCATTTTCTAGGTTCGTGGATTTCCACTCAGCTGCGTCCACTTGCTCCCCGTCCCGCGCCTCTCTGCTCACGGGGCGCCTCGGGGCGCGCAATGGGGTGACCCACAACTTTGCCATCACGTCGGTGGGCGGCCTCCCCCTGAACGAGACCACCCTGGCCGAGGTGCTGCGGGAGGCTGGGTACAGCACAGGGGCTATAGGTAACACCCGCCGTGCCGAGGGTGCGTCCGGGGTGGGGGGCGATGGCGGGGAGGGGGTGTGTGTGTGTCCAGTGTGCCCGTGTCCATCCGCAGGTGGAACACTGGCAAATAAAGGAAAGTCTAAAGGATCACGTGGGAGAGATTTTGCACCTCCCCCTTGGATTTTGCAGTGCCAAGCTTGAAGTCTTCGTTTTCAAACATACGATGTTGTCTGAAATCCAGCCCCTCCCCGGCTCTCCATTTAAGCTCTAATTGCTTCACCTCACAGGGAACGCACCGGATTTTCCTTAGCAAACACACCCGTCACAGCAGCTCTGCCATCCCGCAGCCCACACCGGAGTGATGCCACCGGTGCTGGCCCCGTGCCTCTGGGCACCCTCCTGTCACCGTGGCTCCCCCCCGGCCCACGCAAGCCCCTTGCACCCTCAGGTCCTGTTGCTTGTGCACAATGCGCTGGCAGAAAAGCCCTTGGTTTCTCCTTTCCCCCCCTCCCCAGTTTTTGCAGTTCTCCCTCTTGGATTGGGGCATTCAGTGGGAGCAGGTGCCTGGCAGAGGTCAGAGGATGAAGCTGGTTGTTTGGGAGGAGTTAGAAAGTTGTCTCCTTTGAACCATAAATGCATGAAAGAGCCTTTTAAAGCCGGGAGCAGTCGATTTGCACAGGCACGAGATACCTTATGCATTTTTTTCTGAATTTTGGAAAAAGAAAAAAACAACAAGACGTTCTGGAAATGTGGCCAGCACAAAAATAGACTTTCTGGTTGCTAGATTAAAGCCCCCAGCGCTTTGGGCACCTTGTGGGTGATGGCTGGTGGTGGCTGTAGCTCTTTTAACCTCTGAAATGATGTTCTGTGGCTTCCATGCAGGCAAGTGGCACCTGGGACACCACGGCCACCATCACCCCAGCTTCCGCGGTAAGGACTGTGCCGGCGGGGACGAGCTGAGCATCCCGTGGTTGCCTTGTCCCCGCCGACACCCGCGCTTGCCCCTCAGGCTTCAACTACTTCTTTGGGATCCCCTACAGCCACGACATGGGCTGCACAGACACCCCCGGCTACAACCTGCCGCCCTGCCCGCCCTGCCCGCGGCTCGGCGCAGCTGCCAGGTACGGGGGCACATGGGGGGTTCGAGTGCTGACACAGGGAGGTGGAGATTTGCATCGGTGTGCCCAGCCCTGAGAGCTGCCCTTTGCTGCAGTTGCCTCTCCATGCACCCAGTGTCCCCCCCGTGCGCCCCGCAGCAGGGCACAGGTCAGGGAGGGGGGGTCTGCCCTGTGCCATGGGGACATCGGTATCCTTCCCTTTCCCCTCCTCGTCCTTCTGCACAGCCAGGAGCGCAGTGGGGCTCCACGCCTGCTGCCATGGCTGGCCCCTGCTCCGGTGACGAGCGTGGGGTGGCCTCTTCCCAGCAGGATCGGGGGGAAGGACTGTTACACGGAGGTGGCCCTTCCTCTCTTCGAGAACGTCACCATCGTCCAACAGCCCGTCAACCTCAGCAGCCTGGCGACGCGCTACGCGGAGGAGGCAGCGCGGTTCATCCGCGGGGCAAGGTGAGAGCCCACCCCACCCACCCGGGGGTCGCTGCAAAGAGGCGGTGCTGGGGCCAAGGGGGAGACGGGTGTTGCCTGTTGGTTCTTGGGGAGCAGATCTGGGCTCTCCGTGGCTTGGATTCCCAACCCACTGGAGGATGGACAGGCCACCGAAGCTGTCACTGGGGTCCTGCAGGACTCGCCCTGGAAGCCTTTTAGTGCGTTCCCTCTAACAGGGTCGTGTGTGCTTAAAACCACTGTTGGGGCTGTTTAGTGTGAGGAGGAGAAGGCTGAGGGGTCACCTCAGCACTCTCTACAACTCCCTGAAAGGACGCTGTGGAGAGGTTGGTGCTGGTCTCTTCTCACAGGGAATTAGCAATAGGACGAGAGGAAATAGCTTTAAGCAGCAACAGGGGAGGTTTACAGTGGACATTAGGAAAAAAATGTTCAGAAAAAGACTGGTCAGAGAGTGGAACAGGCTGCCCAGGGAGGGGGGGGAGTCTCCATCCCTGGGGGGGTTTAAGGGCCCTTGGGATGAGCTGGGGGGGGATGTGGGGTAGGGGAGAACTTTGTAGAGTTGGGCTGAGGGTTGGACTCGATGATCCCGAGGGGCTTTTCCAACCGGAATGATTCTGGGATTTACAAGGAAGGTCAGAGCCTCAGAGTCGGGCTGTGCTCTTGGGGTGACTGCAGCGAGACCCCAGCTAGCACAGGAGGGAGGGAGAGAATGAACAGGAGCCAGCGGTGTGCCCAGGGGGCCAAGGAGGCCAGTGGCATCCTGGCTTGTGTCAGCCATAGCGTGGCCAGC